TAGTGTAGGCCGTTACATGGCCCAAGTGTTAAATCTGCAAATCTGGCCGTTTAAGAGATAAACCTACAGGAATCTTCACTACTGTGTAGCTTTCACCATTGCTTTAAAGCTAAACACAGCAAATCTAACTCTGTTTTTAAACTGTTATTCCATCGTCACCATCAGCCACGTCACTTCTTCACCTGTTTCTAAAAGAAACTTCCCAAACAGACCCCACTAGATAATTATTTTGCTGTGGGATATTTGGGCTTGGTTAGTCCCTTTCGCCACTACTCCAAGTTCATGGGTTTTAGTGAAAGTTGAGCATAGATCCAGTTAATGGGAAAAGACCAACAAAGTGTCCCCTTCTGGGAGAAATTCTTCCCGGGGCAAGGTCTACAGATGGCTAAGTAGTTAAGGGCTGAGAAAGCTGGCTAACCCCATCTCTTCGCTGGTCCTCCAAAGAGAGCTCCTGCCACACCTGGAAAAGCAAGGCTTGCTTCCTCTGATCTTCCTAGGGTAGAAAGCAAGTGGGAAAAGCATTTTATGGGTCTTCTTTACAAACAAGGGGGAAGGAAAGGGGGCACGCACCCACCTTCTCTCCTTCCTTTGCAGTTCACATTTAAGCCCTTAATATGGGCTGTAAGCAGAACTTAAATGGAAAGGAGGCGTGTGTGGTCCCACTGTGCTACCCTGAATTTCATCAAGGGTGAACCTATTGTACATCTGAGATTAAAACTTTTCAAAAGAAGGTTATTTTAAAGCTGGGCAGGTGCATCTGGATATTCCAGTCGCCATTTTAGCATCTACAGGGTTAAACCACACACACAGCTCTGCCTGCATCGGTTTCTGCCAGCCCAACCATCCAAGCCGACCACAAGTAAACCCGCTCAGCCGTATTTAACCAAACACTTATTTTCCATTTTATTCAATAGTTGCCTTTAATACTAAAATGCATTAGATGCTCGAAGCAGAAGGGGAAAATCACATTGAAGTGGAAAACAAAGTTCTCATCAGAGGAGAGAAACAATGTGGCAGGTACACCATTTTGAAACAGAACTGTAATAATTTAATAAAGCTGCTTTATCATCTTCATAAAATAGACAATGGTGATTTTTTTCCTTTTTCGTTTACAATGATTCCATCACTGTGAAAATGTACATAACATACATATCAGCATATACAACAATTTATTCTTCATATAATCAGCAACGGAGACACCTTGATGAAACGTACTGTATTTAAGCCCCACTGAAGTCCGCAGTTAAGGTGGTCCTCAGGCTGGTCAGCAGGCTACAGGAACTTGTCACTGTAAGATCTTCTGCAATCAATACCTTAGCATTTGAATAGTGCAAGCAGGTATTTGTTGCTGAAAACTAGTTTGCACTCGGTCAGTTCTTGTCAGGAATGATTATATCCCAGCTCCTATCAGCTGAACATCAGCTGGTGCCGGTAAAGAATGCATTTCACCAGGGCTTGCAACAGAGTTAGCTGGGTTCTTCTGCTAAGGTTAAATGCACCTCATAAGTTGGATGAAAGATTATCTATAGCAGCAAAAGCAGCTGTAGCAACAAGATCATCCATTTCTCCCAATGACAGACAAACGTGTTTCTATTCATAATTAGTTTCCCCCCCCCCCCCAGAGTAATTTCAATGTATTAATCACACAGTGTGTTCTTCACAAAAGCAACTTGTTTCCTATTAGAAAAAAAATAATTCACTTCTCACAATGTGTGATCCACAGGCCATCTTCAGCATCACAATAAAACAGGGATAACTGCAACAACTTCATCAGGACAATGCATCAAGTGCTTACTGCTTATTTTAAAATGTTCAGTCCACCCTCCCATAAGCCCCCCCTCCCATGCTGCCCTTTGTGTATATCATCAAAGTAAAACCAGCGCTGCAAAATTCCAAGTTACGGAAAAGAAAATGCCATTCTGAAAGGGTTTTCTAAAGATATTCTATCACGTAGGTAAATATTACACTTTGAGGAGAGCATGTCATGAATTTACTCAGACTATCTTTGGGGGTCTGAGGTGCTGGACACACAATAGAGTATTGGTTTCATTTTGGGTTGTGGATAATGGGCACCTCTTGCATTCAGACTCTTGTTAAATGTGGCATAAAATACGACAGTTCTTACTGGGGATGTTAAAATGCATTTATTTTTGTAAACGCTGTAACTGACGACCTTTTCAGCAGTTACACGTTTACATGCGGGGGAAGGCGGGAGCCAGCACTCGCAGGAAGCTGGCTTTTAAGTCGGCTCCTAGCGAGCACTGGTTCCCGCCTGCCCTCCCCACCACCATGCTGATGCCTCTGATACAGAGGCAGCGGGGGGAAGGGGATGCGTGTAACAATGAGGTTTAAGCGGGTTCATCACTTAACCGTGTACACGTTCACATGCCTAGTTCTCACTTCACTGTGTAAATGGGTAGGCAGAGCAAGTGTGCTTGAAGGAAATATTTGAGGAGAAACCCTCATATACCAATGACTTTCCTATGCCTAATTTCATTAATTCAAAGAGAGAACTTCATTACGCTTTATCCAAAAAAAGCCATCATGCATCATTTACATTTTGATGTGATTAACTGAACTACTTTTAAAATTATTTAAAAAACGTAAACAAATAGCCTAGTAGCACCTTAAAGATGAACAAAACATGTAGATGGTATCACGAGCTTTCGTGGGCACAGCCCACTGTTAGTCTGTTAAGACCCTACTAGACTATTTGTTGGTTTTTTAAGTTTTTCCTGTTACAGACTGACTCAGCTACCCCTCTGACGCTTTTAAAATTATAATACAGCTCAACCAGAAGCTCTGAACTGATTTCTAATGAGAGAGGGAAAGTAAATAGAAATAGGTGATATTTGAAAGAGGGAAGGGAACTCAGCAGGTGATAAAACCTTCCCCAGTCCATCGCCTGGTCTTTCTTCTGATGTGATAACGTGTAACGGAGGTGCCTTAGGCATTCAAGATCCCAACATTCAGCGCAGGCCAGGATGGGGAAAAACCCGTTTAAATAGTTTCCTGGGAGTTGATAACTGACCTCTTAGAACTCCCTTTGGTACATAGAAATATACCACATTTTCTGGGCTGCGCTTTTATTTCTAGTAGCAAGGAATGTTTAATTTGTCTTTTCAGTTACCATCTATTTTCCTCTAAGTGCTAAGTTGGGGGCAGCGACACAATCAGAGGCCCACGTTCCTCTGGATTCCTCTTCCCATTTTCTATTCACTAGTTACAGCAATGGGGGGCCACGCTACCAGGCCTATCTTTGGCTAGGAGGAGGAGGGCCGTGAGACAGGAGTGGGAAGGCCCATATGCACAGCACAGTGTAGTAGATGGAGGAGAATCCATGCTAATTGGCTAGACAGTCCTCTGTCATGTTGCCTGGTGGACTGCTGCTCTCCATTCCATAGACGATCACGTACAAGCCATCCTGGGAATGCCTGAGGCTCTCCTCAGGGAAGCCTTCTGGCCATTTCCTTCTGAGGAGTTACGTGAATGGTTCGTTTCAAAGCAGAACGACACCTCCCATTTCAAGTCAGGAGAAGTGGAGCAAGTGGTCAGATAGGTTCAGTTTACACCAGTTGTAACCAACACATCGCCACCCATTGGTCACATTTGGCGAGGAGGGGGATTGAAAAAAATCTCAAAATTAGACTAGAATGGAGAATTTCATTGAGCTTGGGGAAAACAGAATGAGCGTGCTGGATTTTGTAACAAAACCCCAGCAATAAAATCCAGAAAAAACCTAGGCCCTTTTTGTGGGTTCTCTAGAAGACAGCAAAGAGTTCATATAAAACTTCAACCCATTCTGTCAGCTAGCCTAAGGCAACCAGAGACTTTGAGCATCCTAAGTAGAGGCCCCTGATGTCAAAAGTCTCAGGATTGCCATTGGTTACCCGTATGAGCCTGGAGAGTGTGTGCTGGAAGGGTGGGAGAACAGTACCATAGGCTGATGCTGAATTATGGTGCACGTGCGCTCGCTCTCTCTTTCTCTCTCTCTCTCTCACACACACACACACACACACACACACACACACACACACACACACATCTTCAGCATCACAATAAAACAGGGATAACTGCAACAACTTCATCAGGACAATGCATCAAGTGCTTACTGCTTATTTTAAAATGTTCAGTCCACCCTCCCATAAGCCCCCCCTCCCATGCTGCCCTTTGTGTATATCATCAAAGTAAAACCAGCGCTGCAAAATTCCAAGTTACGGAAAAGAAAATGCCATTCTGAAAGGGTTTTCTAAAGATATTCTATCACGTAGGTAAATATTACACTTTGAGGAGAGCATGTCATGAATTTACTCAGACTATCTTTGGGGGTCTGAGGTGCTGGACACACAATAGAGTATTGGTTTCATTTTGGGTTGTGGATAATGGGCACCTCTTGCATTCAGACTCTTGTTAAATGTGGCATAAAATACGACAGTTCTTACTGGGGATGTTAAAATGCATTTATTTTTGTAAACGCTGTAACTGACGACCTTTTCAGCAGTTACACGTTTACATGCGGGGGAAGGCGGGAGCCAGCACTCGCAGGAAGCTGGCTTTTAAGTCGGCTCCTAGCGAGCACTGGTTCCCGCCTGCCCTCCCCACCACCATGCTGATGCCTCTGATACAGAGGCAGCGGGGGGAAGGGGATGCGTGTAACAATGAGGTTTAAGCGGGTTCATCACTTAACCGTGTACACGTTCACATGCCTAGTTCTCACTTCACTGTGTAAATGGGTAGGCAGAGCAAGTGTGCTTGAAGGAAATATTTGAGGAGAAACCCTCATATACCAATGACTTTCCTATGCCTAATTTCATTAATTCAAAGAGAGAACTTCATTACGCTTTATCCAAAAAAAGCCATCATGCATCATTTACATTTTGATGTGATTAACTGAACTACTTTTAAAATTATTTAAAAAACGTAAACAAATAGCCTAGTAGCACCTTAAAGATGAACAAAACATGTAGATGGTATCACGAGCTTTCGTGGGCACAGCCCACTGTTAGTCTGTTAAGACCCTACTAGACTATTTGTTGGTTTTTTAAGTTTTTCCTGTTACAGACTGACTCAGCTACCCCTCTGACGCTTTTAAAATTATAATACAGCTCAACCAGAAGCTCTGAACTGATTTCTAATGAGAGAGGGAAAGTAAATAGAAATAGGTGATATTTGAAAGAGGGAAGGGAACTCAGCAGGTGATAAAACCTTCCCCAGTCCATCGCCTGGTCTTTCTTCTGATGTGATAACGTGTAACGGAGGTGCCTTAGGCATTCAAGATCCCAACATTCAGCGCAGGCCAGGATGGGGAAAAACCCGTTTAAATAGTTTCCTGGGAGTTGATAACTGACCTCTTAGAACTCCCTTTGGTACATAGAAATATACCACATTTTCTGGGCTGCGCTTTTATTTCTAGTAGCAAGGAATGTTTAATTTGTCTTTTCAGTTACCATCTATTTTCCTCTAAGTGCTAAGTTGGGGGCAGCGACACAATCAGAGGCCCACGTTCCTCTGGATTCCTCTTCCCATTTTCTATTCACTAGTTACAGCAATGGGGGGCCACGCTACCAGGCCTATCTTTGGCTAGGAGGAGGAGGGCCGTGAGACAGGAGTGGGAAGGCCCATATGCACAGCACAGTGTAGTAGATGGAGGAGAATCCATGCTAATTGGCTAGACAGTCCTCTGTCATGTTGCCTGGTGGACTGCTGCTCTCCATTCCATAGACGATCACGTACAAGCCATCCTGGGAATGCCTGAGGCTCTCCTCAGGGAAGCCTTCTGGCCATTTCCTTCTGAGGAGTTACGTGAATGGTTCGTTTCAAAGCAGAACGACACCTCCCATTTCAAGTCAGGAGAAGTGGAGCAAGTGGTCAGATAGGTTCAGTTTACACCAGTTGTAACCAACACATCGCCACCCATTGGTCACATTTGGCGAGGAGGGGGATTGAAAAAAATCTCAAAATTAGACTAGAATGGAGAATTTCATTGAGCTTGGGGAAAACAGAATGAGCGTGCTGGATTTTGTAACAAAACCCCAGCAATAAAATCCAGAAAAAACCTAGGCCCTTTTTGTGGGTTCTCTAGAAGACAGCAAAGAGTTCATATAAAACTTCAACCCATTCTGTCAGCTAGCCTAAGGCAACCAGAGACTTTGAGCATCCTAAGTAGAGGCCCCTGATGTCAAAAGTCTCAGGATTGCCATTGGTTACCCGTATGAGCCTGGAGAGTGTGTGCTGGAAGGGTGGGAGAACAGTACCATAGGCTGATGCTGAATTATGGTGCACGTGCGCTCGCTCTCTCTTTCTCTCTCTCTCTCTCACACACACACACACACACACACACACACACACACACACACACACACACACACACTCCTTCTAAAGCAATTTTCTGCCAATCAATTAGGATTAATTTCTGCAGCTAACAATGGTATCCAGGAAACTTCTATGGTTCAGTAAGTAAGGACATGAATTTTCACTGAATAAAGCTCTCAAAAGTTAATGAACAGGTAACATTATAAAGAACAAAACACCCATCTTAATATTAGACAGTCCAGTCACTTAAAAACCTCCAAACCAATCTGTTCCTTCTATTGCTCATATAATACATCCACTTGCAAAATATATATATATTTAATGACAGCAGTACAGTACCCCAGATATGAAAAATTAGAATAAAAACAACGTACTATTTTTAAAAAATGAATCAAACTCCAAAATTAAGGGGGAAAAGGACACATGGGTCAATTTTTAGAGGGACAGATGCAGTCACACCAACTCAGGGGATTCCATCTGCATGAGGTAGCAATCAACACCAATAAAGAAAGCTTTAGTCATTTCATGAGACGTTCCTTTTGATAGATTATTTTCAAATTCCTGGACCCATAAGACATACTGGAAATGTACCAATTGGAGTAGTTAAAAACCATATTCAGGTTATCTACCTTCTCTAAAGAAAAGAAATGACTGGAGCTTATTTGGTGTTTAGGATGATAACAATTGGAGGCTGTTTTCCTCATGACATTTTTAATTTAAATAAATCAATGTAACGAGAATGTTATCAAGATACATTAGTAGTGGGAAAACTGTTTCTCTAGAAACCATTATTTTCAGTTCATTCGCAGAACAAACACTGGCAATGTCTGTACTTTCTCTCTCTTTCTCTCTCTCTCTCTCATATAATGAACTTTTAAGCATGAATTAATATTCTTTTGGGTAGAAAACTAAAGTGTTACTAATTCACAAACCAACATCTTCTGTACCTCCACCCCCACCCAAACCCAGTTGGAACAATTGTGTAGTGCAGGAGAGCAGAGAATATATAATTCTGTGAAAATCTTTATGGCTCCTCCTTTCTACAAAATGGCTGTTCAAGTAGCTCCAATGGTCTTTTAAAAATCAGTTTTATATGTGCAAATTTGTAGCCTAAAATCTGTACTTAATTATGAGAAAAAAATAATTATTCACTTTTTTCTTCTCCTTATGGAAGGCACATTAATTTCATTAATAGTGTTGTTATACTTCACCTGTCTGGCCCTACCCGAATACCCTTCTATTGCTTACACTACACCTACTCATGATGCAGGGATAAATAGAAATAATATCATTCTAAAATCCATCCCATAATGAGATACATACACACACGCAGGTACTTAGTGTAATCATGACTGGAAATGTTGATCAGGAAGCGCGTCTCTAACCAAGATGCTAATTTAGATCTGTTAAACAATTCCCTTGCTTTGAGATGATTAGAGACGGGGAATAGCTAAACCTGGAAACTAATAACTTACAGAGAAGCTTTTCCATGCAATGCCTTGACGTTACGAAAAAAGAAATGGATCTCAAAACGTTCAGCACAGTGCATCCGACAACTGCAAATTAGGCAGCAGAATATCCCTTAAATTACTTCGCACAATGATCGTAGCACTGTGAAAACAAGGATAGGGCCTGGGGGGTGTTGGGATATGGGCAGAACACGCCTCACATTGACTTTGAAATTAGCAATTTCCCCAAGTTTTAAATATATCTGTGAGGGGGTTTTGTAAAAACTTGAAAGCCTTTTGCCATCACTAGACATACAGTAATTTGCAATATCAAATACAATAATAGTACAGATAAGCATGTGATAGCAAAAGGATTCTTAATGCAGGGGTGTCCACAGCAAAAGAGCAACATTTTAAAGTACAAACAGCCTTGTGCTAGGCAAATATTAAAACTCATTGAATTGTTTTTTTAACAGTTGTACACAAGAAATGGCCAGTAAATTGTATAGAGTACAAAAATGTCAGGGTGATTATTCAAGACGGTCAGATAAGGAAGTTTCAATTCAATTCATTACAAAGAATGGCAATTTATAATAGAGTTTTGATATATAAAAATATATAAATTGAAAATACTCCATACATAATACTTCTTTATAACTCAACTGGTCTCACCTTCACTCCTACCCCATGACAAAAGAAAAATAAGCTAATTTGCTTCAACTGAACACCCCTGCTAGCGGCTGAAATAAGTGGGGATTGTCACATTAACGATATAGCTTCATTTATAAACAATACATTTAGGGAAAGCTCTTAAATACAGCAATTTGTGAACCGTTGTTAAGCAATTAAAAACAATATGCGCTTGTAGTAGTGTCGGTTCTCCTTTTTATATGGTGCCGTTTAGAGTACTACGTCTTTTAGTCTCTTCACTCCTGGTGAGTCTTTTTCTCTACATTCTTGCAGAAGTGGATTAATTTCATGCATTATATTTTCACTGTCCGCCCCTCTAGGCTCTGCTTCCGTGGGCCGAGAAGGGCCACTGTTTACAAATTGCTCCAGGTCGCGATTTACTGGGCAGTGCATTATGTTGTATGATACGGAAGGTTTGCTAGACAGGGGGCTCTTCAGATGGAGTGGTGATGTGATGGGGCTGACAGCTTCGCAGCCGTTCCCTGCCTCGCGGACTGCGCCATTTACCTTTGGGCTGCAGACAGGCAGATCCACTGTTCTTTTGCCTTTCGGGTTGATGATACGCTCGTCGGCAAGGGGTTCGCTCCCATCTTTGCCAAACGTTGCAAAAGTTCTTTTGGTACCACAGTCTTCGTAAGGCTCTGTATCCACAGTGGTAGCTTCTATAGAGAGTGCCATGATGTTCCTTCCATGCTCAGGAGATTTTGCACGACTGGGGACAGAGTTCCGGGGCATCCAACATCTGTCCGAGTGACCAAGGATCCGACACTCTTCCCTACAATGAAATCCTTCACTCTGATCTGTGTGAAGAAAATACAATGGATTATGAAATTGAGGATTCTCTCTTTCTGGAAGCTGTCCCGCAACCTTTACTCACACACGTGATACCCAGAAATCAACAAAGTCCCATCTGATACCCTGGTAAGGAGCACAGTGTAAATACTTTTATACACACACACACACACACACACACACACACACACACACACACACACACACACACCCTCGCTCTCATATTCATCACCACTGATTCTCCGGAAGTAATGGCTTGCAGAATCAGAACCTTTCTATTATCTTCTGGGGATAAAATGAGAAGCGATGGGCTTAAACTGCAGCAAGGGAGGTTTAGGTTGGACATTAGGAAAAAGTTCCTAACTGTCAGGGTAGTCAAACACTGGAATAAATTGCCCAGGGAGGTTGTGGAATCTCCATCTCTGTGAATTTTTAAGAGTAGGTTAGATAAATGTCTATCAGGGATGGTCTAGACAGTATTTGGTCCTGCCATGAGGGCAGGGGACTGGACTCGATGACCTCTCGAGGTCCCTTCCAGTCCTAGGATTCTATGATTGTGCCTACATAAACGTTTCTTTCAAACAAACAGCTGACATTTTTAAAGTGTCATTTTGAAGAGGCATTTTATTGCATTATTTATTATGATGATGATGATGATGATGATTGGCTGAAGTTCAATTTCCAACAGGTTGTGTGTCATTTGCTCCCTTTTCCCCCCTCTTTTTTGGCTGCTGCTGCTGCCAGAGATGTAACCTAAAGGGAAAACAAATTACGATAGGAAATAAATTAAAATGGGTTTGTCTCGTGTCAAGCTGCTTCGAGTCCACATTTTTGTTTTCAGTTACCAGTGCTAAATGGCACTCTGTTTTAAACTTTGTTCAACATGAAAAATACGAGCCTAAATTCTACATCTGGGATTGCCGTTTGTTTGTATTTTTGTTGATTTTTACATTTTGCTTAATTCCCTGTTGGCCTCCCACACAATTGCAGAGGCTTTGTAAATAACCATCACTACCTCCCTTCCACTGAAGATTAAATTTGTCACTTCAAGCACTTGATCCTCACTCGTA